GTAGCTTATTTCTGTCTCCCAGTATGGAAGAAGATAACAGCCTATTCCCTGAAAATGAGCTTTTGGACAGCGTTCCCCTTTTGGAAGATGGTAATAAAGATTCTTTCACAAATAATTCAAGTTTTAGCAACACGAAAACAAATTACATGCTTCATGCATTCCCTTTAATTTTCTTTATTTCAGAGAGACTTATATCTCTTAAATTCACATTTTATCTCAAAGACAGACCTTATATGTTATCATCTTTAGTTGAAAGAAAAATTATGGTTGAGAATCTCAAAAGTGGCAGACCAGAGTCTAATTTCCAGCATCACTATTGAGAAATCTGATGCCATTTTTATCCCAATCCTTTGAATGCAACCTATTTTTGTTTTCTTTTTGTGGAAGCTTTTAGATTAAAAAAAAAAACTCTGATGATCTAAAATTTTTCTGAGACGTGCCTTGATTTGGTTCTCATGCTGGGCCCAAGGCCGTTCCAATGTGGAAACAGCTCCCTTCTAGTTCTGTGTGCGGTCAGCTGCCCTTGTCCGGGCCGCCTTCTAGCACTGCCCAGCCTCTGTCCCCTCACTGCTCTCTTGGTGAGTGTTGATTTGTGTCTTTTCAGTCATTTTAACTGAAATTGAATGAAGGAGTGAAGATAAACCCAACAGTTTGACTTGCTCTGTTTTGCTGGAATCCTGCAGAGGTTTTCTAGATGATGGCCCTCAAGCTGCTTTGTGTGAGAGCTCCTGCAGAACCAGAGGGCTTTGGTTCATATCTGTTTGCCTTTCAATATTAGTATCTGTTTATTCGTTTAAAGCAGCAGTAGTGAAGCTATTAGAGGAGACAGAGTGATTTAATAGGATGGCTGGATTTTCTACCTATGTTAGTCTGTTGTGGTATCACACATTCATATCTTCTGGAAAACTGCTGTACACTCATGAGGAGAGAAACAAATAATGTGTTAGTATGTTATGAAAGTAGTTTTGACCTTGCAGGCCCCTGACTCAGGGGTCCCTTGACTAAGTGTTAAGAACCACCACTCTAAAACCCTATTCCTATCACTGCCCATCCTAAAACTTTACACTTGAATGTTTAATCTATATATATTTTTTAAACTCTTGCTTTGACTTGTAGAGAGAGATGAATTAGAGGATCCAGGGTTTGAGGCTGCCTCTCTCCCACAGGAAGCTGAGAATGGTGCTCATCCCAAGTCTTCCTGGTAACCCACTAGGGCGGGCAGCTTCATTCCCCTCCAGCTCCTGGGGTGCACCCAGAGCTCTCACCCAAGGTCTGAGCTCTGCACACTCTGGATGGTGTGCATGGCAGCTCGTGTCTTATTTTTTTTTTTTTAAAGTTTGGTGAAACAAAAAAATATTGATGCTAATAAAACAAAGAAGATAGCTGTGGAGGACAGAGCTCAGACATTTCACCTGAGGAAGACCTTGAGCTGTCTGGATAAGATGCATGAAGAGAAAGATCTTTTCATTCAGAAAACGAGGTAAGCACAGTGTGAGGGCCCAGGCTATCTGTGACTCATCAGGAGGCAGGAGTGGTCCTGCACCTGTCTCCCCAAGACCCTTCAAAGACTGTCCTGCCAGTTCTCTGTGGGGGAAAAGCTCAGTGACCCTCCCGGTAGCTGATGCCTGGGGTTTTCGGCCCCTTCCAAACAGTGTGGATGCCACCCAAACACCAGCACTCAGAGTCACTCTGTGTCACATCGGGGAAGTGACTTCTTGCCTTTGTGTGTATTTGTACTTTAGGTGTGAGCTTAAGGGTTTTTGCTGAATTACTTGAAAGCATATTGTAGATGTGATGCTTTACTCCCAAATATTTCAGTGTCATCCTTCTATGTAACCTCCATACCACTCCTTCCCCCAGGAAAGCAAGCATGTCCCTCACCCCCAGGCCAGCACCTCCCCCTACCACACCCCGTGTCTCCAGAGGGCTGGGGAGCTCTGGACAGGGCTTTACTATGCTGTTGCTTGGGCAGAGTTGTCCTACAAGAGCTCATGCTGAAACCAGGGTTCCATGCAGGCCCATGCCCCGCAAGGGTGGCCCCAGACCTCCTGGTGCATGTTCCAGGTCACTGTGGTGGGCTCTGCCCTAACTTGCCCCCTACCCCCTCACTGGTCCCCTTCACACTGGTGCTCAACTCTGGGATTTCTGCAGATCCACAGTATCCTCAGCTTCTAAGTACACACCACTGTTGGGAGGAAACCACACAGCTGGTCCCTGTAGCAGGGATTTCAGAGAAAGGGTGGATAGCACCCTGCTCATGTCCCTTGATTTTGCTGTGGAGACCCGGGTGTGGGCGAGTAGAGAGCTAGGGGCCTGACTCTGCCCACTAGGTCCCTCTGTCCCTTGGGGGGCTGGACTTTCAGGGAACCATTATCTAGATTCTCACTTCCATGATCCAGAGAGGAGCTGTATGCCTGTCGCCAGAGAATGGAACTTCTCCACACACAGCAGGCGAACTTGGCAGCCGAGATTGCCACAGAGAGTGCAGCCAACAATGTGTAGGTAGCCCTCTACCTGGGACAGAGCAAGCCATTAGGTGGGTGGTGCCCACACATAGCCAGGGCAGTGCCACGGGCTTGCTCACTCCCCAGGGGTATCAGGCCCCTTCTGTACGTGGGTGGGGCAGGGGCAGGCAGCACACAGAGCACAGAACAGCCCCACTGTCAGGTGGCCACAGCTCTAGCAGGACCACATGGCCAAGTGGCTATGAGGGAGGCCAAAAAGGCTGGCCCAGCAGGCTGGGAAGAACATCTAGGACTGCTTTAGCCCCTAGCAGCAGGGTGAGGGGGGCAGGAGGGCAGACCCAGGAGCCACTTAGTGGATGCTGGAAAGGCCCGGCTCTGCGCAGCCTTCGGGGAACACACGGCCTGGCCAACCTCCACTAAGCCCTGAAAAGGGTTCCATAGGATATAGGTATGAGCTCCTGGTGCAGCTATTCTCATAGACCAGCCACCTGCCTGCTTCTCCACCCCCACCCAACATGCCACCTGGGCCCTGCCTGCTCAGCAGAAGTGGGCACATGAAAAGCCCTCCCTGTTTCAAAGGTCTCCCTACTGAGAGTGGGAAGGCCAGGGCAGGTGGCTGTGGGGCCCCATCTCAAGCTGAAGCCTGACCCACCTGCCCTGCCCATTCACTGTGCTGCAGGGCAGCCATCGGCCGTCTCCAGGCAGCATCCAGACGTCTGTGCACAGAGCTGGAGAATGAAAGAGACTTGCAGGCAAAGATCTTGGCCATGCTGGCAGAGAATGAGTGAGTCAGGGCAGCAGGAGGTACTGGGTATGGGCGAGGGGGCAAGAAAGTGAGACTCTGTCTCAAAGAACTCAGGTAAATCAGTAAGAAAAAAATCAAACAACCTCGTGAAAAAGATGAGCTTCCTATGCAGAGTGGCCCTGCCCCCTGTGGCTCTGAACCCTGTTCTTTGTCCCTTTCCCTATGGCGTCAGCAGCACTGATGCTGCTCATCCAATTAATTACTGCCCTGATGGTCCCAGGGTGATTTCCAGTCGTGTCATTTCTCCGTCTTTGCTTCCTGCCACAAGAAGCTTTCTCTTCTCCATGTTTCTTTCTTTGTTTATTTATTAGTGTACAGTCTAGTTTCTGTTCACATCGTGGGTTATAACCTGTCATCATTGGCTCTGGTGATCCAAGCTGTCCTGTGGGCTGGCTCCTGGCCCTGTGTGCATGTCCCTGTCACCCTTGAGCACCTCTGCTACACAAGCTATCCCTGGCTCCCTTAATTCCCCGCCCTGACCCTAGATGTGCCAGTATTGGTGGTGCCCACAGTTCATGGCTCCCCTAAGGCAGGCCACTAACCTCTAGACAGCTCCCTCCAAACCCCTAACCCACAGCTAAGTGGCTAGCTGCTGCCTGAGAGTGTCTACAGGTGTGTCCCTCTGCTGTCTCCACTCTAAAGGTGTGACAGGCTGGACACACACTCCTGAAATTCTGTTCCCTGCGGTTCTGCAGGCCTTCCCGTGGGGGCCCGCATTGCCGTGGGAGTCCATTTCAGCTGGGCTCACATGTCAGCAAGTCGGGGAAGCTCCCAGGGAGGCCTGAGATTCCCACAGCAGAAGTGTGGCTGCCTGTCCTTCAGGCCCTGCACCAGGGCCCAATGTGAGCTGGTCTGACAGCCAGTGGAGAACATTGGGGCCTGAATCTGTGGCTTGGTGATTTAGACCCATTCCTTGTTCACCCACCCCTCTGTTCGAGTCAGTGAGCGTCTGCTGTGTGCCACTCTCTCTTCTGAGCACTCAGATCTATCAGTGAGGCGAGCAAAGACCCTGCCTAGCTGAGCCTCGAGGGCATGGTCACACAACCGGTCTGCTTCCACACTCAAACCTGCTGGCTCAACACAGTCCTGTAGCCTAGGGGCCAGAACCTGACCTGGGCCCCTCAAGCCACAGGTGAGGTGTGGCACGTCTGCATTCCTTCTGGAGGCCAGGGCTTCTTCCAGCTGTGGGGACCTCTTGGCCCCTCCCCGTCTTCAAGGCCTGCTGCCCACATAGACCAGCCACGCTCCCCTCAGAGCCCACGTCACTGAGCTCACCAAAGTGCTTGGGCAGGACCCAGGAAGTCTCACCAAGGGAGGTGCCTAAGGCATGGTGGAACCTTTCCAGTGTGTGGTCTCCCCAGATACTCAGATTCATCCTCCTGAATGATACCAGGGAATGTCTGGCCCCACTGTCTGCTGTATAGGTCTCTCCTGAGTCCAGGCTCCCCAAGCCAACTGGAGCCACTCCAGTGTGTGGGTGAGCTGGCCAGCACATAGTGTCAGCACATGGGGCCAGGCTCAGGCCTCTCAGCTCAGACTTTGTGGACCCTGAGCTTGCTGGCAGCTAGGAGAGGGGGAAAGTGGTGTGAGCCTTCAGACCGCTCAGGGCCAAGCCTTTTCCACCACCAATAGATTGGGGTTCAAGGTACATAGACCTATCCAAATCTACTCAAAAGAGCTCACTCCTGCCCTAGAGTTCTGCTGTTTTCCTCTGGTCTCTGAAACGGCCTGGGTGTTGGTGTCCTTCCCATGCACTCGTGATGGTGTGAAGAGGTGAGGGCTCTGCCCTTGTGGGCAGGATCAGTGCTCTATATAGGGCCACCGGCAGCAAGGTCATCCCTTTCCAACCTTCTGTCCCCCCTCTACAAGGACACCAAGAAGGCACCATCCACAAGGAGCAGCCTTCACCAGACATGGAATCTGTTGGGACCTTGATCCGGAACTTCCCAGCCTCCAGAACTATGAGAATTAAATTTCTATTGTTTAGAAATGACCCTGTGTCTGGCATTTTGCTATAGCAGCAGGAACAGACTGAGACAGAGTCCTGCCTTCACACAAGGGACCCTGCAAGCTGTTGAATCACATCGTCATTTAGCCACTCTAGGCATCACAGAACAGAGAGGAGCAACCGCCTGACAGATGTCACTGAGAGTGTCTGGATGGATGGAAGCACACACCCCAAGACTAGAGGGTCTCTGGACAAACAGAGATGGCCCCACACGTGGGCAGGCCCTGGGTCAGACTGGCTCAAGAGTAGATGGAAACACTGCGTGTGAGGGACATCAGCAGACACTGCCAATCACGGAAGGTCCAGGTAACCACAGGCACCACAGAAGAGTCAGTTACCTAAAACCATCCAAGACTGACTCAGGAAAAGATGGAAACACTGTGTGTCAGGGACATCAGTGAACACTGCCAGTTACGGAAGATCTAGGTGACCACAGGCGTCACAAGAGAGTCAGTCATCTGAAATCACCCCAACAGAGAATGTAGTGTATAGTATGCCAGGTTTTTAAATCTTATGATTCACTCTCCTTATGAGAAGGAGACATGGACCCTACTTTTATGCAAATAGAAATTTATTACACCTGCAGAGGTCGTTGACTTAGGAGGCAAGCGACCTCAAATGACAGATCAAATGGGTCTTTATACCCTATTTCTGCATCACAGCAAGCAGGCAGAGGTACAGAAGCTGAATCATTGCGGTTAGCCTTGGGGGGTGAATTGTGTAGAACAAGGGTGGGCAGGGATGTGTCAAGCCTCTCCTCTCTATGCACCTTCGTATCTCAAGTTTCTCCTCTAAGTTCTTCCCCCTCCCTACGCACTCCCTTAGCTTGAGGCCTCTTCTCAGAGTCTCCTTACCCTTGAGGGGGCTGGGACTAATGGATTCAAAAAAATTTCTTTTTAAGGGTAGGGAGCTTGGTTATCATAAAATAAGGTGGCATAAGCTTAATGCCAAAACCAGGACAGGTTTGGCATGGTGGCTCATACCTATCATCCTAATATCTGGGAGGTTAAGGCAGATGGATTGTCTGATCTCAGGAGTTCGAGACCAGCCTGAGCAAGAATGAGAACCCATCTCTACTGAAGATAAGAAAAACTAGTCAGGTGCCATGATGCCTATAGTCCTGGCTATTTGGGAGGTTGAAGCAAGAGGATCACTTAAACCCAGGAGTTTGAGGTTGCTATGAGCTGGCCCCATGACACTCTATCCAGGAAGACAGAGTGTCTCCAAAAAAACCCCAAAAAACAACCAAGAGGACAATATAAGACAGGAAAAGTAGAACCCAATCTCAGGAAATAAGTAGAAAAGTCCTATATAAAATGTAAAAATCAAAACCAGTCAGGCATAGTGGCACCTGTAGTCCAGCTACTCAGGAGGTTGGGGCTGCTATAAGCTGTGACAATACCAATGCCTTCCAGCCTGGGCGACAAGGCCTGCCTCACAGATGAAGTAGAAACACAGCCACGTGCGAGACACTCACGCAGAAACACAGGCTGGTACCCAGCTGGGGTTATTGCTCTGGGAACCCAAAACAGGCTCACCATGAGCCACTGAAACATAGGGGCCACACAGCATCTCCGTGCCAGGAGGACTGAGGAGGGCCAGGGTGCAGCAGCCACTGCCAGGGATTGCATGGGGCAGAGAGGTCAAAATCAGTTCCATGGTTTATGGTTTATTACAAAAAACTTTAGTGAATAGGAATCAAGGGACAGTCTTGGCTGACTGAGTGTGCTTACTGCAGACCACGGCACACACTATGCCAAGACCCGGGGGGCGCGGTGTACATGCAGGCCACCAGGATCCCACATACCCTCACGGTCAAGGCAGAGTCGGGCAGGTCTCTAGTCACCAGGAAAGGGGCAGATGCAGCTGGGATGGAGCTGCCTGTCACCATGCTGCTGAGCCCCTCCCCAACCACGTGTGTACACTGAGGGGTGGTCTTGGGTTGGTTAATTAGCAGCAGTGACCTCACGTAGCAGAAGCCAGTCCCGCCATTTCTTCCTGAATGCCTGCCTCAGGTGAGGCAGGGCCCACATGGCCAGCTGGCCCGGTGCTTGGGCACAGGAATAGGTAGCATAGGCCCTGTCCCAGCCTGGACTGGTGATTTCCCTAAGGGTGGCAGCAGCCAAGCTGGGTCTGCCTCTGGGCAGCTTTGGCCAAGGGGCAGCATGCAGGAAGGAACAATCTGTCAATGGTGTACACTGTCCACTTGGAGTGCTTGTCTGAGTTCGGTGCCCGGACCCTCCCCGGGCCTCAAGATGAACATGCATCCCCTGTTGCCACCATAAACCAGAGGCCTCTTGTTTTTCAAGGAAGGCCATGTGGCACATCAAGCTCGAGCAGGGGCAGCTGGAGGACTTCAGGAAGTCAGATGAAGAGCAGGTGCAGGCCGCCAGGCAGCGCCTGCAGGAGCATGCAGCGCGGCAGCTCAACTGGGAGAAGGAGGCCGTGGGGAGGGTGGACAGGACCCAGCTGCTGCGGGTGCGGTAAGCCCAGGAGGGCCAGCTCCAGCCAGCCATCCTGCCCACAGCTTTCTCTGGGGCCTTTCTCAAGTTCCCCTCATGCTCCCCTCTCCAGCCAGTCTGTGACCCGGGCTTTACACCCTCCCCAGCTGCCCTCTGGGCTCTAGGTGTCCAGCTCCAGTCCCCCCATATCCTGGGCAGCCCTTGCATGTTCCCCAGGCTACAGGCCAGCCCCCCACCCCCACCCATCTGAGAGCATCTCCCCTCTAGCACCTAGCTCCTTCCCGTCTCTCCCTGCGGCTCCCAGGCCAGGAGCTAGGTCCTCTCCACCCCACATCACCCCTCATTGCCAGCTTTCTCCAGTGCTTCCTGGGTCCAGAGGGGTCCTGGCCCCAGCTGTGGACACTGAGGGCTCTGGTCCCAGCTTCTGTCCCAGGCGGGATCAAGCCTGGCCTTTGGTGGCTTTGGCTTGATGTCTGAGCTGCCCCCAGTGCCTGGTCTGGCCATGCCCTTCACACCTGGCCCCCAAGGGAACCAGCAGGGACAGACCCTGAGGGCAGCAGCCTTGGGGATGGGTGAGGCTGGCTCTGTCCTCACTGACCCACCTCATGGCAGGAGGTCCCTGCACATGCAGAAGGAGCATGGACTCAGGCACCAGAAGTTGGTGGAAGACGCCCAGAAGAATCACAAGATCGCCGTGGCATTCCTGAAGGCCTCCCTGGGAAGGTAGCTTTTCTCTCTGGATAATCTCCCTTCCTGCCAGGGCCCTTGAGGAGAAACCCTAGAATGTAGGTCCTTTGCTTTTGTTTTGAAATTCTCCAATTTTGGCTTGGTGCCTGTGGCTCAAGTGGCTAAGGCGTCAGCCACATACACCTAAGGTGGCAGGTTCGAATCCAGCCCCAGCCTGCCAAACAACAATGACGGCTGCAACCAAAAAATAGCCAGGTGTTGTGGCAGGCGCCTATGGTCCCAGCTATTTGGGAGGCTAAGGCAGGAGCCCAGGAGTTGGAGGTTGCTGTGAGCTGTGATGCCACAGCACTCTACCCAAGGGGACAGCTTGAGGCTCTGTCTCAAAAAAAAAAAAAAAGAAAGAGAAATTCCCCTATTTTGTCATTATTGTTACATTGTCAAAACCCAAGTAATGACTCGGCACCTGTGGCTCACTTAAGTGGCTAAGGCGCCAGTCACATACACTTGAGCTGGTGGGTTCAAATTCAGCCCGGGCCTGTCGAACAACAATGATGGCTGCAACCAAAAAATAGACGGACATTGTGGCAGGCACCTGTATTCCCAGCTACTTGGGAGGGAGAGGCAGGAAAATCGCTTGAGCCCAGGAGTTGGAGGTTGCTATGAGCTGTGATGTGACAGCACTCAACCCAGGGCAACAGCTTGAGGCTCTGTCTCAAAAAAAAACGAAACCAAGTAATCTGTATTTTAGTCCTGGGTTGCTATTTATTTTCAGAAGAGGATATGAGTTGTGGCATTTCCAGCAGCATGCCCGTGTAGTTGGGCCTTTATGGTACTTTTCCCTTTTACCTTTTGAACTATCATCTTGCAGTTCCCCGGGCGGAAATGCCAATGCCCAAGGCTCCTGTAGTTTCACCATCACCTCTCAGCCCCTGGCTGTTCCTGGTTAAAAATGTTCCCTCCTCCAGAGTTCGACAGCGAGAGGAGGAGGAGGAGGCAGAGGCCCAAGAACACCTGAGGAGGCGCATGGAAGCCGTGCTGGCGCTGAAGAACAGCATCACCGCCAACCGGGTAGACACGGGCGGCCTGGCCCTTTCCTGGCTCCCTTGAGGCTTCCTGAGCATCTGCAGGGATTTCTTGCCCATGGGCCCTGTTCTTGTGGGAAGAACAGGGACATGCTACTGAGGGACAGGGGAGCAGGACACCAGGGAGCCGCAAGGAGGGCTAGGGTTGGGCATTTGGCCTGGGAAAGTGGAGAGAAGAGTTGGGCAGAGGCTGGAGCCCGCAAGCATAGAAGGCCACTGGGCCTGTGGGAGCTCAGTGGGGAGGGATGTATAGGTTGGTGGAGCTGCCCCAGGAGATGTGACCTGCATGTAGAGAGGGACCAGACACCTGAAAACCACCTCCCACGGGGTCCCCAGGTGTCAGCACTGACTTGGTAGCACCTGTCTGAAGGAAAGTCGTGTGCTCCCTGTGCGCACACAGTGTGCTGATACCATCACCTCTGCTTTCTATTTCCAAGGAAACACTGCGTAAGTTCCAAGCATGGAGCCGGGCCAAGGGGCAGCTGGCAGAGCAGAGGGCCCAGGTGGAGAAGGAAGTGGTTCTGGCCCAGGGTGGGAATGCCTTCAGGCACCTTCTCCATCAGCGCCGGCATCAGGAGCTGGAGGCCCAGACGAGGTGAGGGGGCAGCAGGTATTGGAGAGTTGGGGGACTCGCCCAGCCAGTCTCAGGGTGGGCCAGGAGCTCAGGAGAACCACAGGGCTACAGCCCCTGGAAGCTGCCAAGGATCGAGCCGGGAACTAAGCCTGAGGAGCATCTGAACCGTACCAAGTTTCCCCCAGGGAGCCTGAGAATGTCTTCAAGCTGCACCCTATGCTGCCTGGAGTCTTGGTCTGCAGCTCTGGGTGGTCGCAGAAAGTAGCCAGGACAGGGCTGCGGCTTTCCAGAGGCCAAGATGCCTGTACCAGACCCCCATTTCTGTCCATTTCTTGCCTCTCAAGGCCAAGGTTTGTAACAACCACTTCTGGCTCTCCTAGCCGTGTACCTGATGTGCCACCAACTTCCACATCACTATCCTCTGCCTTCTCCTGAGGAGGGGCCTGCTCGCCCCCACCCTGACCTGACCTCTGGCTAAGGGCAGCCTTCTCCCCCCAAGTCATAACCAGAGCTCTGGGCTGCCTGTTTGCAGCCCTCAGTGGGAGTCCTGGGACAGCTCCACCCACCTACACATTCCTCAGCCCAGCCAAGCCTGGCTCAGAGGAGGTACCCAGCAAGGGTCAGCTCTGCTGCTGTTGTGGTTTGTGCCCCAGCTGTCAGCCAAGGAATGTGAGCACAAAGTAGCCCATAGGGCCCAGGCCTACTGTGAGACGGTGCTGCCAGGCAGGGTGGGGCCTACATCTGGGATCCCCATCCTCCTGGGCACTCCGTCTGCCCCACCTGGGGCCACCCCAGAACCAGGATGTCCCCACCCAAGTGCATGCCACCCCTGCCTGGCTGAAGGCATTTCTGCACAGGGCCTTTGAGGAGCAGCAGAAGCTCCGGAGGCAGGAGATCGTCAGCCGCATCTTGAAGGAGCAGGCCGAGGAAGAAAGCCACAAGAAGCAGCGTTCCCCCAGCACCGCTGCAGCCCTCCAGACCCTGAGGGACAAGACCTGGTGCTACATCTCTGATATCTTCGAGGGGAAGGCCATAGCCCCAGCTGCCTCTTTCCTCCAGGTGAGCAGAGCTGCCTCCCGTGTGGAACCCCCCTACCTAGACTACAGCCATGAAGGGCCTCGGGCGCCCTTGGAGCCACACCTACCCACAGAGAAGTGCCACTGGGCTCTCTGTGCCCAGGGGCAGCAGGCCACAAAGCTCGGGGTCTCCACACGCAGGTGCCCACAGCCTTGCCCTGGGCTCCCACCAGCACCAGGTCACCCTAAGCTGCCTCCTCGGACATTGGGAGGCCTCGTGCCTGTCCCTAGACATAGGGCTGAGCCACCACCCCGATGTGAAGTCTTCCTATTTCATGTAAAGAATCTGATTCACATTTATTAATTTTATGAGGCATAATAATCTCTAATAGTATAAGAAACCAAAAATATGCAATATTGCTGTAGAGTTAAAGAATCTTCCAATTGTGACAGCAGCCAGCTTAACAAGCTGATTCCAGCAATGGTGAGTTTCTGTGCTTCTCTTTTTCTTCCCCAATTAGTATGAGGGCACATCCAGTTGGTTTACACTGTTTGCATTTGTCAAGTCCAAGTTGTAGCTATGTCCCACACTGGGAGGTATGCCCTGCACCCACACCTGTTCCCGCTGGGAAGGAGCCTGCCAACCCCCATCCCCTTTTGTATTGAGTTTCTCTCTCCTGTGAGTGTGTTGTTAATCTCTAAGTTTCCACTTGGTATCAGGTGTTGCCTATTGTCCAGTCCTATGAATGGGATGTGAGTGCAAAGCAGCCCATGGGGCCCAGGCCTACTTAAGACGGTGCTGCCAGGCAGGGTGGGGCCCACATCTGGGATCCCCATCCTACTGGGTTCTCCGTTTGCCCCACATGGTGCCACCCCAGAATCAGGATGTCCCTGCCCAAGTGCATGCCGGCCCTGCCTAACTGAAGGCATCGCTGCACAGGGCCTTCAAGGAGCCCCAGAAGCTTGGGAGGCAGGAGATCAGGACTTAGGAAGATCCTCCAGATCCAGCCAAGTTGTGACAAAGGATATAAAATCTATTGTTTCATTATAGCTGAAAAGCATTCCATGGACCATGGGTCCTCAAACTTTTTAAACAGGGGGCCAGTTCACTGTCCCTCAGATCATTGGAGGGCCAGTCTACGGGCCCCAGAACGAGTCAGCTGCTAAGCAGGACAGGCAGCGGCAGCAAAAACACCTGGCTGGCTGGATAAATGTCCTGCGGGCCGTAGTTTGAGGACCCCTGGTCTGAACACACACCAGGATTTTTTTTTTTTTTTTTTTTTTTTTTTGAGACAGAGCCTCAAGCTGTCCCCCTGGGTAGAGTGCCATGGCATCACGCTCACAGCAACCTCCATCTCCTGGGCTCAAGCGAGTCTCCTGCCTCCGCCTCCCAAGTAGCTGGGACCACAGGCGCCCGCCACAACGCCCGGCTATTTTTTGGTTGCAGCCGTCATTGTTGTTTGGCGGGTCCGGGCTGGGGACTCGAACCCGCCGCCTTAGGTGTACGTGGCTGGCGCCTTAGCCGGTTGAGCTATAGGCGCCGAGCCGCACACCAGGATTTTTAATCCATTCTTGTGTTGAAGGACATTTGGGTTGTTTCCACATCTTTGCAGTTATGAATCGGCCTGCTATAAACATTCCAGTGCAAATGTCCTTATGGTAAAATGACTTTTTCTTTTAAATTTCAGATTAATGTGAGTACAAATTAATTAGGTTACATTGTTTGCATTTGTTATGTAAGTCCAGGTTGTAGTTGAGCCCCTCACATACCAGGCATCATTTACCCCTAAATTGTCCCTATTAGGTGACACCAAACTTCCTCCTTCCTCCCCCCCCTTGAATTTAATTGCGTTTTTCTCCCCTGTATAAAGTCTCCAACTTTTTTGGGGGGGGGGCAGAGTCTCATTTTGTCACCCCTGGGTAGAGTGCCTTGGAGTCACACAGCTCACAGCAATCTCCGGCTCCTGGGCTTAGGCGATTCTCCTGCCTCAGTCTCCCGAACAGCTAGGACTACAGGTGCTTGCCACAACACCCGGCTATCTTTTGGTTGCAGTTCAGCCAGGGCCAGGTTTGAACCCGCCATCCTTGGTATATGGGGCCGATGCCCTACCCACTTATCCACAGGCACTGCCCAAGTCTCCATCTTTTTATAGCTGGAGAGTACTTCATGGTGTACATACACCACAGTGTATTAACCCATTTGTGGGTTAATGGGCCCTCGGGTTGGACTTTTTCTTTTGGAAGATACCTAGTAATGGGATTGTAGGATCAAATGGAAGATCTACTTTCAGTTCTTTGAGGACTGTCCATACTTCTTTCCACAGATGCTGCACTAGTTTACAGTCCCACCAACATGGCAAGTGTTTCCCTCTCTCCATACCTGAGCCAGTATCCATTCCCACTGGGGTTAGGTGATATCTCAGGTGGTTTTGATTGACATTTTTTCACAAGTTTGCTGGCCATTTGTCTTCATGAGAAAAGATTCTGTTCATGTCTCTTGCCCAGATTTTGATGGGGTTGTTCTTTTTTTTTTTTTTTTTTTTTTTTTTTTTTTTTGTAGACTCTGGTTATTACGCTTTATTGGATTCATGGCATGGGAATCTCTTCTGTTCTGAAGGTTGACTCTTTGTTGTGCAGAGACTTAACTGGATCAGGCTCCATTTATTTTTGTTGTTGCTGCAATTGCCTTTGGGGTCTTTTTCATAAATTCTTTCCTGAGACCAATATTGTTAGGAATTTTTCCCAGACTTTCTTTTAGATGTTTTTATAGATTTCTGTCTTAGGTTTAAATCTTTTATATCCATCGTGAGTTAACTTTTGTAAGTGGTGAGAGGTGTGGGTCCAGGTTCAGTCTTGCATGTGGTTATCCGATTCTCCCAGCACCATTTATTAAATAGAGATTCTTCCCCAGTATATGCTTTTATTTGCTTATTAATGTCGCCCTGAAGAGGGCAGATTTCCTCTCACCCCCATTCATTCATTCAAACCAATGGCCTGCTCTGTGTCACCTGCCAGTGTCGGTGACTGCCCTCAGCTGAGGGGATTTATTTCTAGTTTTTCTTTCCCTAAGAGTGTGGGGTAGGGACAGTGGCTCCCTCCTGAGCCTCTGCCCTTCTGTGCTGCAAAACTTGAAGGTTGAGGTCACTGTCTCTTTTGGCTGTCTGGGCTGGGCCTCTGCGTGCCCTGCCCTGCCCTGCATCACATAGGATCCTTTCCTGCTTCCCAGGACCCCTGTGCAGGGGCAGGGCCTCTACCCCCACCTACTCCCTGCTTCAGCCCTTCTTGCACCCTCTCCAAAGGTGCCTTCCCTGCCCACTCCATGCCCGTCTCCATGTCCCACCTGTCTCCCTCGGGCACCTCCCAGCGTGCAGCACATTCCTGTCTCCACCCCACCTTCTGGTCTGTCCTTGCCACCCACCCAGCTCACTACAATGCCCGCTTTCTCTGCAGGCCTAGCACAGAGGGCCCAGAGCCAGGTGGGCCAACAAGGCCCCAGCCCATAATGGTTCTAGGGAAACCATCGCAGTGTTCTGGGATTAGCACAGGGCTTTCCCAGGCAGGAGTAGTGAGCATGGAGGGTCAGAGGCCAGGATGCCCACTCATAAACTAGAGTATTTTCCGATGAGAGGGATGTTGTGTACTCTTCTTAGCATTGTAGAAAAATATTTAATAATGTCTAAAATATTTCTGTTTTATGTGGAAAAGGTCAGAAAACAGTGTAAGAACAACTGGAATGGCTCAGCACCCATAGCTCAGTGAGTAGGGCACCAGCCCATGCATTGAAGCTGGCGGGTTCAAACCCTGCCCAGGTGTGCTAAACGACAATGACAACTGCAACCAAAAAATAGTTGGGGCTCCACGCCTGTAGCTCAAGTGGCTAAGGAGCCGGCCACATACACCTAAGGTGGTGGGTTCGAATCCATCCCAGGCCTACCAAACAACAATGATGGCTGCAACCAAAAAATAGCCAGGTGTTGTGGCAGGCGCCTGTGGTCCCAGCTACTTGGGAGGCAGAGGCAGGAGACTCGCTTGAGCCCAGGAGTTGGAGGTTGCTGTGAGCTGTGATGCTGCAGCACTCTACCCAGGGGAATAGCTTGAGGCTCTGTCTCAAAAAATAGTCGGGCATTATGGCGGACACCTGTAGTCCCAGCTGCTTGGGAGGCAGGGGCAAGAGAATCACTTAAGCCCAGCAGTTGGAGGTTGCTGTGAGCTGTGATGCCACAGCACTCTACTGAGGGTGACATAGTGAAACTGACTCAAATAAAATAAAGAAAGAACAACTGAAACACAGTATCGAGGGCCCGTGGGGCTGGGCCAGTTTTTCTCCTCTCCTGCTCCTCTGCACATGCCCTGCCCTCTGGGATGAAGGTGTCTGAGCCACATCTCTCTCCCTGCCTGCAGGAGGAGGATGACGATGAGGGGCTGTACGGCGATGTCTCTCAGTTAGGGCAGGCCATCTCCTGCGAGTCGGTTCAGGCGGAACCTGCGACGATCCCTGAAGAGGAGGAAACTTTAGCTGAGCCAGAGATTTCTGGGCTCTGGAACGAGGACCATAAGCCGTACCAGGTGCCAGCCTCTACCCTCTGAGCGCCCTCCTAACCCAATACCCCTAGCTGGGTCACTGGGGGTATTGTGCTAGGAGGTGCCCACAGGCACTGCAGATCCTGACCTTCCTCCAGTCACCACTGTGAGCACCATGCCCCAGCCTCCACCCACAGAGACGAGAGGGCCCACGTGTGCACCATGACCCCAAACTTCCCCATGTGTTTGTGGTCACCATGGGTGGCTGCAAAGGACAGAGGATGATTCTGAATTAGTCTTATTACCAGGGAAATATACTTCTAGAAAAAGTCAAGAGTTCAGTCATGCTTTGATGTCTTTTTAAATAAGCACATGGTGCACCCAGAGAACTGATCTTCCAGGAGCAGCAGGACAGGGCACCAGGGTGGCTGTCCCCCCTGAGGACACCATCTACTCCTCAGTTTCTGTAAAAACCAGTCACCAGTGGTTGTCAGGGAAAGCCACTTGATTCTGCTGGGCCCAGAAAAGAGGAAAGCAGAGCTGGACCCCCAGGTGGCACCACCCCAGGGAGCATGAGGGAGACCCAGGGCCAGAGTCCCCGTGGGCCTCAGTGCCCACCCAGATCAGCACTGCCTTTGGTGAGGGCCATGCTGCTCCCTATGCCAGTGGGCAGGCGCCTCTTCTTCAATAAGGCTGTGTTTGTGCTGGCACTGCTGTTTGGGAAAACTGCTTCCCAGAAAACTTTCTCCAAACTTTCTCTTATCCTGATTTAACAATCTAGAAATTCCCTCCTCTGCCACTATTTCCCAAAACTCTGCCTGAAATCTGGATGTTTCTGCTTTTCTTTACATTTTTTCCTCTTTTTCTAAAGTGAAGACCCCCTGTCTTACCAATGGACAGGAGATTAAGTCCAGCTGTTCTAAGTAACCTGTGGGTCGCAGCCCCCAGCACCAAGGGCACCCATTTTTGGTTGTGGACCTTGTCAACCATCTCTGCTGCTCAGCTGCTGTGAGCAACCCCCAGCAGGGAGACCCACACAGCTGGGCTTGCCTTGGATTGCATGGGCCTGCCCTTGTGACCCTCAGGTGCTGAAGGAGGGTGCAGACAGAAAGCCCGTGGGCGGGACAAAGATGGACAAAGACATCCTGGCCCGCACCATGGACCGGCTGCGGAGCAGCTTGATCCACAGGCAGGTGGCCTCTGGGCGTGAGTTCAAAGGCCGCCCCTTCAACAGCAAGCCAGAGATCATTCACTTCAAGGTGAGCCCGCCCCTCGCAGCCATCCTCCCCCTGCTGCCTTTAGTTTTAACCTTGGGAAGCACAGAGGTTTCTTCAGGAATGGACGGAGGTGCTGTCCTCCTGCCAGGCGGAGGATGGTGTGAGAGGGCTTCACCTCCGCGGAGAAGTCAGGCGCCAGCCCAGGGAGGGCATCTCAGAAACAAGAGGGCCCATGGCCCTCAGAAAACCATGTTCCTCTTAGGCAGCAGGGAGCCCTGGGCTTTCCGGGAAGGGGCTGTGGTGGGCAGTCCCTGGCCAACGATGAGCAGATTCTGACTTCCTCTAATGTGACCCTAGCAGGAGCAGAGTGGGGACCAGTGAGGCGAAGTTCAGTGCTCACTGATTGCGTTTGACAGACTTTGCAGGAGGGAGTGGTCTTGGGGGGCCTGTGGTCCTCCTGGTGCCTCCTGGTGGTCGGGCACCAGTCCTGGAACCTGTATGGTCAGAGCCTTCACTGCTCACACCAACCCTCCGGGCCTAGCACAGCCCATACTGCCAACAGCTAACAGGCACCCCAAACCCCAAGCCCTTCTCTGTTCTCCCCTCCTCCGTCTCCCCGGGACCTTGACTAGTTGCAGTGGCACCAAGCTGTGGCCAGAAGGAAGCTGCAGCTCCTGTCTTACCGGCTCTGGAGCTGTGGCTTCTGCCCTTTCTAGGACTTTGATGTCGGCAAAGTGTACAAGAAAAAGATCACGCTGATAAACGCCACCTACACCATCAACTACTGCAAGCTGGTGGGCGTGGAGGAACACCTGCGGGACTTCATCCACACCCAGTAGGTGGCTGCAGGCGCCACCTCCTGCCGGGGCTGTGGGGGGTCTGGACCCGTGCCCCTGGGGACAACATCTCCTGCCAGTGTGTTATGGGGGATCTGGACATACACCCTGGGGACACCATCTCCTGTTGAGACTGTGGGGGGGAGTTGGAGGGTCTGGTTACCCATGTCCCTGGGGATACCACCTCCTGCTGGGGCTGTGGGGGGTCTAGACACATGTCCTGGGGTGTCACCTCTTGCCAGGGCTGTGGGGGGGTGGTGGTGTTCTGGGCACACCCACTCAGACCGTGTTTTCGTGAAGACAGCATCACAGTGGTTCCTGGCTCCTCTGTCTGCTCGTGTTGCTGTCATCCCAGCACGGCCCAAGTGTCCCTTGGTGAATGGCTGGGACTTCTGTGTGGCCACATAGGTTCCTTCTTGTTGTATTGTTCTGAGGCTGACCACCCTGGCAGGTCTCTCCTAGCAGTCGTGTGCCTCTCGGTTGTAAGATTCGCCTTCCACCGAACTTTTAAATTCTCCAACCCAGTGTTTCCCTTCTCTCCTTTGGAGGCTGCACCTGCACGTGCTGCTCTGTGTTGTCTATCATCCCCCTTCTGGTCCCCTCTAATGTGGCTTCTCTAGTTTATTTTCTCCCCTTGCTTTTCTCATGATGAACTGCTTTTGAGATTTAGGAGTGTTGCTCTCTTCTGCTCCTCAGCATCTTGCCTTCCATCTAAGAAAGTTGTTTCCTCTTCTCCTTCCTTCTTAATTTCTGCCAGGTACTGTGGACAGGCATGTAGCTCCAGGATGGCTCTTAGATTCTCAGTCCCAGAACGCCCACTTCATCTGTGCTGTGATAAGCAGTCTCTAAGGACCCTCACTCCCCCTACTGCCACCAGGGCGCCCCCCCTGAGGCTGCCACCTCGGGGCCTGTGCCCTGAGACCGCCTCTTCCTGACTGGCTGGGCCTCTGCTTGGTACATTCCCATTCAGGATGCACTGTTCTCTTTGGGGAGCTGATTTTAGATCAGCTCTAAGGTCTTTTCCCCCTTCTCTCTTCCCTGTAGTTTCTCCAGATCCTGAAAGCATTACTGGAAACTGGTGGACATTTTCCCCTTATAATTAATTTACAGCCCAAGGGCTCTGCCCTTAACCACACTGATGGTGAGGTATCTGTGATGCACCCATTTTTCTCATTGGCCTGTGTAGTTTCTGGAGGGTGTAAGCAGAGGACTGGATTAAGTGGTTTCTGGTATCTCAGCTACTCTGAAGCATTCCGACCCACACCAGGATTAGTACTTTTTATTGACAGTTATTTTCTCCCAGACGCTGAGACATGACGCCTCTGTCTTCTGGGCATTCAGCCCAGCTGGTGCACTCTGTGGCTTTCTGTCTGCCGCGCTGAGCTCTGGTCCTCAGCCGCCTTCTGCAGCTGTACCACTGTATGACTGGGGTAGGGAGACTTTTCTTAGAATTCATTTCTTGAGTCTGAAGACTCATGTATTTGAACAATTTTGGAAATTTCTTAGCCCTTCACATAGCCCCTCTCCCATTCTGGTGGCTATGCCCCCTGTCCTTCCTATGTGAGACCTCTCTACTTTCCCCCATGTCCAGACCCCTCTTTCACATTTCCTCTCTCTCATGTTGGACCACATCCTAGGTGTCACCCCGTCCACCACCATCTCTGAAGCTGTGTCTAATCAGCCGCTGGAACTGCTCACGAAGTTTCTCATTAAGATGCTCAATTTCTCATTTCTAAAAATTCCAAGTTCTTTTTCAGATGAGCTGGCATTTCTTGACAGTGTTTTTTCTTTTCTTATGTCTATAATTCTCTATTTGCGTCTTCAGCCATGAGAGTGATATGTCTTTTAAAGTCTCCAAGCAATACTCTGTCATCTGATATTCTGGGAGGTTGACCTCTCTGCCATGTTGCTTGTGCAAGTTACAAGTTTCAGATCTTGGGTTCTGATCCTCGCTCTGTGCCAGCTCCATACCTGGGGACTCTGGGTGGTTGACATCAAAAGGTTTCCCTCAGAGGCTAAGAAGTTTTGGACTTGCTCTGCCTTATGCCAGACGGACATTGCCAGCCAGGGACAGATTTTCCTGTTAAATTTTCATCTCACTTCTAGTGGGCACATTTAGATAGAGGCAGCCTTGTGAAAACGGGGATCCTAAGCAGAGGCAGACTCACTCCCCTTGGCTTCCCTGTGTGGCTGGGACTGTTTTCTGGTTCCTTCTCTGAAATAGGGCTCCACTCCCCTGACCCCCTATCTTCATAGCACTCAGTCCCAGCTCCCCTCCTGGGTCTCATCCATGGCCCCACCCCAAATTGGTATTAAAACTCTAGACCCTTGTTCTAGGCCTGGCACGTGTCCCCAGGGCACTATGGCTACTCCTAGCCCCATAATGCCCCATTTCCCCTGGAGCTGGAGAGGACCTTGCCTCACACACTCACAGACACTGAAACCTTTCTCCAATATCCCCTCCCCACTGGGTACAGGGGTGGACATCAGGGAGCACAGCAGACCCAGGGCTGTCTCTAGAGGCAGGTGGCCAGGCGCATGATGTCCAGGCATGTGGGAGGGACCAGCTCATACCTGCCCTAGCCAGGCTGTACCCCAAGGCACAGTGGATTAACCAGCTGTGTGCTGTGGACCCCTCCCTGTACTGCAGCTTCGACCCCCCAGGCCCTATGTCAGCCGGGATGTCCTGTGAAGTGCTCATCACCTTCAAGCCCATGGTGAGTCACTTGGGAGGTGGGGAATGGGCCTGCAGCACCTGCAGCTTGTGGGGTGGGATGGAGGGAGCACCCACTTGGCCTCTTAGCACTGGCCTCTCAGAGCTCCTGATTTGCTGTTTTATTTCTAAGAACTACTCAACGTATTCAGAAAATGCTAACAGAATCACTGCAGAATCCAGGTCCCTCACTGACGAGTGTGGTTCAATAGCTAAATGGGGTGTGAGAGGATGATCTGGAAGGCCCTATCCATATGTGACCCCTCCTAGGACACATTCTGCTGACTCCTTCCATTGGGTCACCTGAGCTTGGCGGGCAGGAGGCAGGGCACAGGCTATGGTTACACATGGGCTTGCAGACTGGGCAGTAAGGCACTAACAGTGGTTGGGATTATTTTATTTTTAGATAAATAAAGATCTGGAAGGAAATGTCTCATTTATGGCTCAGACCGGCGGATTTTCTGTTCCTCTGAAATGTTCAACAAAGAAATGTTCTGTAAGTTCAGAGACATCTGAGCCACTGTCTCAAAGGGCAACCTGCTGACACCCATGAGCCTCCTGCAATGTGGGTGCAGGTGGTATGGGGGGCCCATGTCTCCACCTCGCCTCTGAGTGGGCCCTTAGGTGGGTGGCAAGTACATGGGCTGCTCTGAGGAAACGGGTGCTCAGGCCAGCATTGGGAGAGTCTGGGCAAACCCCGCTCTATGTGGAGGGTCAGATGAGCCCTTAGCAGCTATCTGAGCAGACTTTAGTCTCTATAGCTCTCTGATGTGCCCCTTGATTATGCTTTTTAATTAACAAAATTTTAAGGCCTAGGCACAGCGGTTCACACCTGTAATCCTAGCACTCTGGGAGGCTGAGGTGGGTGGATCACTTGAGCTCAGGAGTTTGAGACCATACTGAGCAAGAATGATATCTCATCTGTACTGAAAATAGAGAAACTAACCAGGCATGGTGGTGGGCACCTGTAGTCCCAACTACTCAGAAGGCTGAGGCAAGAGGATCACTGGAACCCAGAAGTTTGAAGTTGCTATGACCTATGACACCACAACACTCTACTCAGGGTGATAGAGTGAGACTTTGTCTCAGAAAAAGAAAAAAAAAAGAAAAAAAGAAAAATGTTAAGCATACTGACAAGCAGAATTGTATAAGAATGTCCATGTGCCCCACCTGGATTCAGTAATTGTCAACATCTGCACATTTGCTTCACCCATCTACCTGCTGTTATCACTGCAGAGGAAGGTAGTGATTGTAGCATTCCACTTGTGCCCTCAACCTCAGCATGTACCTCCAAGAAGCAGGGAGCCCACCACAGGGGTGCCCCTTCTGAGCAAGCATCAGCCCTTATGGAGATGTTGCATGATAGCACCTACTGTGTTTCCCCCAAAATAAGACCTACCCAAAAAATAAGTCCTGGCAGGATTTCTATGCATTTGTTAAATATAAGCCCTACCCCGATAATAAGACATAGTGATGGGTCTTATTACCACGCCATGCATTTAAGCACAGAGTGGTAAGGAACACTGGAATACCTTTTATCTGCCATAGCTCCTTTCTCCATGTTATTTGCACTTGCACGGGTGTGCCTATGATAACCGAGGTCGCAGGCATCCTACTGCACACGTGTGAACAGCTAGGGGAAAGGAGTTCACGCATCACTAGCACCAGCCCCACCAACAAGGTCGGCTCCCCCTGTCAGGTTCCAGAAGATGACTTAACTGTATTTGAATGAATGTAGATTGTTGTATTATACTTAATAAAAATAAGATATCCCCTGAAAATAGGCCCTAGTGTGTCTTCACTATGTCAAAAATAACTAGAAGTTAGTGTCTTATTTTTGGGGAAACATGGTAGTACTCAGTGTCTTGGGCATGCAGGTCACTGCAGTCCACATCTTCCCAGCTACAGGTGAGCTGGACGGGCTCAAGGCTGGACTGGGGGCCGATACCAGGGTGTTCTCCCTCTCAGCCTCTGGGGCAGTGTCAGCCCCAGCACAGGCATCTCAGAGGATGAGTGGAGCCCAGGGAGTCAAGGCCACAACATAGCACATTTCAGCCTCTGCTCATTTCACATCTAACGATGCACCAGCCAAAGCCAGTGCCATGGCCAAGCCCTGCCTCGGTGGAGCAGGGAGACCCATTCTGGTGTGCAAGGGGGCAAGGCCAAGGAAAAGGAGGATGGAGGAGGATGTTCTGTGTCCTGAAGCAAGAAAGCCAACAAACTGTCACCTGTCACCCAGTCCAGACTCATGTATCCAACTGTGCCCAAATCACCTTCTACAACAAATTTCCTTATTACGTCATTTCTTTGTTTTTTTCCTAAGAGACAGGAACTCTGGGCAGCACTTGTGGCTCAAGGAGTAGGGCACCGGCCCCATATGCCAGAGGTAGTGGGTTCAAATCCAGCCCCAGGGCTTGGCGCCTGTGGCTCAAGCGGCTAAGGCACCAGCCACATACACCTAAGGTGGCGGGTTCGAA